CATCCACACCATCGTATGTCCTTGGATAGCGAGTACAACTTCCAGTTTCCCTGGATGTTCTAATCAAGGATTGTATGGTCCAGTGGATTAAGGTGTCATGAGTTTTCGCCCACCATGAGGAAGGCCAAAGCAGCATGGGTTCGAGTCCTTGGCTAATTGCAGTGTTGTTATTGATAAACACCACTTCTCCGTGGTTACAGTAATATAATATATTATTATAATATATATATATATAATATATATATATATATATATATATATATATATATGGGTTTTAAAATATTATATATATATATATATATATATATATATAAATATATATATATATTATACATATAAAATATATATATATATATATATATATATATATATATTGAGAGAGTTAGAGCAAAAAGGAGGGGTAGCAGTAATGTTAAATGATCAGTTATGGAAGGAGAAAAGAGAATATGAATGTGTAAAATTTAAAAATTAGTGGAAATTAAAGAAAGGTTGGATGCGAGAAGTGGGTCTTTAAAAAGCGTGTATGCACCTGGAGAAGAGAGGAATGCAGAGGGAGAGAGAGAGATTTTGGGAGATGTTAAGTGAATGTATTTGGGGTCCTTTGAACCAAGTGAAGAGTAATTGTGGTAGGGACTTGAATGCTAAAAATAGGAGAAACTTTTAGAGAGGGTGTGGTAGGTAAGTTTGGGGGTGCCAGGGGTAAAAAGATAATGGGAGCCCTTTGATTGAACTTTGTATAGAAAGGGGTTTAGTTATAGGTAATACATATTTTAAGAAAAAGGGATTAAAAGTATACACGATATGATGTAGGGCGAAAAAGACAGTAGTTTGTTGGATTATGTATTGGTAGATAAAAGACGTTGAGTAGACTTCAGGATGTACTTTTTTATAGGGGGCCACAGATATATCAGATCATTTCTAGTTGTAGTACACTGAAGAAAAAGGTAGGGGATACAAGGAGAATAGAAGCATCGGGGAAAGAGAGGTGAAGGTTTATAAACAAAAAGGGAGGCTTGGGGTAAGTTTAAAAAACAGTATTGGAGGATAGATGGGCAATGAGAGCAAGGCAAGGGGGTCGAAGAGGTTAGGGGTATTTTTAAAAATGTATGTTAGAGGTTCAGCAAAAGTTTGTGGAACAGGAAAGTGGGTGCAGGAGGGAAGGGAGCGATTGGTGGAATGTGATGTAAAGAGAGTAGAAAGGGGAAAAAAAGTTGCATTGGAATTTTTTACAAAGTAGAAGTGATGAAAGGGGGGGAAAGATATATGGAGAAAAAGAAGAAGTTTTAAAAGAGTGGTGAAGCATGTAAAAAAAGAGCAAATGAAGGTGGGTGAGATGTTTTCAACAAATTTTGTTGAAAAAAAAAAAAGTTTTGGGGGGGGGTGGTTAAAAATTAAAAAACCTAGAGAACAATGGATTTGTCAGTTAAAAAAAGGGGAGGAGAGTTTAAAATGGGGAGGTAGAGGTTTGGGAAAAATGGAAGGAATATTTTGAGGAATTTTTAAATGTTGATGAAGATAGGGAAGCTGTGATTTCGTGTTAGGGAAAGGGGGAATAACATCTTGTGGGGGAGGAAGAGCCATTTTGAGTGTGGGGGAAAATTCGTGAGGCAGTAGGTAAAATGAAAGGGGGGAAGGCAGGGGGGATTAGGGGAAAAAGTAGAAATGTTAAAAGCGGGGTGGGATATTTTTGGGAGGGGTTGGTGAAAATTATTTAATAAAGTAGGGGAAAGGGGGAAAGGTACCGGGGGAAATTGGGCGGAGCATGCATATTCCTTTGTAAAAGGAAAAGGGGATAAAAGAGAGTGCAAAAATTATGGGGGGATAAGTCTGTTAGTTCCCGGGTAAAGTGTATGGTAGAGTTATTTGAAAGAATTTAAGAGTAAGACGGAGAATAGGATAGCAAAATGAACAAGGAGGCTTTAGGAAAGGTGGGGGGTGTGTGGACAGGTGTTTACAGTGAAACATAAGTGAACAGTATTTAGATAAGGCTAAAGAGGTCTTTGTGGCATTTATGGATTTGGAAAAGGCGTATGACAGGGTGGATAGGGGGCAATGTGGCAGATGTTGCAAGTGTATGGTGTAGGAGGTAGGTTACTGAAAGCAGTGAAGAGTTTTTACGAGGATAGTGAGGTCAAGTTAGAGTATGTAGGAAAGGGGGGAAAATTTTTTTCCCAGTAAAAGTAGGCCTTAGACAAGGATGTGTGATGTCACCCCGTGGTTGTTTATATTTTTTATAGATGGGGTTGTAAGAGAAGTAAATGCGAGGGTCTTGGCAAGAGGCGTGGAGTTTAAAAGATAAAGAATCCCCACAAAAGTGGGAGTTGTCACAGCTGCTCTTTGCCGATGACACTGTGCTCTTGGGAGATTCTGAAGAGAAGTTGCAGAGATTGGTGGATGAATTTGGTAGGGTGTGCAAAGAAGAAAATTAAAGGTGAATACAGGAAAGAGTAAGGTTATGAGGATAACAAAAAGATTAGGTGATGAAAGATTGAATATCAGATTGGAGGGAGAGAGTATGGAGGAGGTGAACGTATTCAGATATTGGGAGTGGACGTGTCAGCGGATGGGGTCTATGAAAGATGAGGTAATCATAGAATTGATGAGGGAAAAAGGTGAGTGGTGCACTTAGGAGTCTGTGGAGACAAAGAACTTTGTCCTTGGAGGCAAAGAGGGGAATGTATGAGAGTATAGTTTTACCAACGCTCTTATATGGGTGTGAAGCGGGGGTGATGAATGTTGCAGCGAGGAGAAGGCTGGAGGCAGTGGAGATGTCATGTCTGAGGGCAATGTGTGGTGTGAATATAATGCAGAGAATTCGTAGTTTGGAAGTTAGGAGGAGGGCGGGATTACCAAAACGTTGTCCAGAGGCTGAGGAAGGGGTTTTGAGGGGGTTTGGACATGTAGAGAGAATGGAGCGAAACAGAATGACTTCAAGAGTGTACAGTCTGTAGTGGAAGGAAGGCGGGGTAGGGGTCGGCCTAGGAAGGGTTGGAGGGGGGGGGTAAAGGAGGTTTTGTGTGCGAGGGGCTTGGACTTCCAGCAGGCCCTGCGTGAGCGTGTTTGATAGGAGTGAATGGAGACAAATGGTTTTTAATACTTGACGTGCTGTTGGAGTGTGAGCAAAATTACATTTATGAAGGATTCAGGGAAACCGGCAGGCCGACTTGAGTCTGGAGATGGGAAGTACAGTGCCTGCACTCTGAAGGAGGGGTGTTAATGTTGCAGTTTAAAAACTGTAGTGTAAAACACCCTTCTGGCAAGACAGTGATGGAGTGAATGATGGTGAAAGTTTTTCTTTTTCGGGCCACCCTGCCTTGGTGGGAATCGGCCGGTGTGATAATAAAAAAAAAAATATATATATATATATATATATATATATATATATATATATATATATATATATATATATATATATATATATATATATATGTCGTGCCGAATAGGCAGAACTTGCGATCTTGGCTTAAATAGCAACGTTCATCTTGCCATATAGGACAAGTGAAAATTTGTGTATGCAATAATTTCGCCAAATTCATTCTGAGCCCATCGAAAAAAATATATTTTACTGTGTGCGTTTAGTATTAAATTATTGTAAACAAATCTAAAATATATTTAGCTGGGTTAGGCTAAAATAAATTGCGCTTGTTATAATAAGGTTAGGTAAGTTTTCTAAGTTTCTTTTGGTGCAAAATTATAAATTTTTACATCAACATTAATGAAAAAAATATATATTTAAACGTATAAGAGAAAATTTTAAAAAGGACTTAATTTTAAATGAGTTCTTGCTAATTGACCAGTTTTACATATTCGGCACGACATATATATTTTATATAATATATATATATATATATATATATATATATATATATATATATATATATATATATATATATATATATTATATATATATATATTATATATATATATATATGTCGTGCCGAATATGTAAAACTGGTCAATTAGCAAGAACTCATTTAAAATTAAGTCTTTTCCAAAATTTTCTCTTATACGTTTAAAGATATATTTTTTTCATTAATGTTAATGTAAAAAAATTTAATTTTGCACCAAAAGAAACTTAGAAAACTCACCTAACCTTATTATAACAAGAACAATTTATTTTAGCCTAACCCAACTAAATATATTTTAGATTTGTTTGCAATAATTTAATACTAAACAAACACTGAAGTATATTTTTTTCGTTACGTTCAGATTGATTTTGGCGAAATTATTGCATGCACAAATTTTCACTTGTCCTATATGGCAAGATGAGCGTTGCTATTTAAGCCAAGATCGCAAGTTCTGCCTATTCGGCACGACATATGTATATGTATATATATATATATATATATATATATTTATATATATATATATATATATATATATATATATATATATATATATATATTATATATATATATATATATATATATATATATATATATATATTCAAAAAACAACATTGCACTAGCCAAGGATTCGAACCCATGTTGTACTGGCCCGCCATTGTGAGCCAGAACCACATGACACCTTAACCCACAGTACTGACCACTCCTACAAGAACAACGCACCCAGCCAAGCTAGGTGTGTTACTCATGGTCTGAGGACATACGGTAGTGTGTGAGCTTGCTAGCTAATTTCATTTAATCAGAAGGGTGGACAAGGTTTCGAACCTTGGTCCATAAATTGACAGTCCGATGCTGTACCATCTCGGCTACCCGGGTCTCTAACAGGACAAATCCAGAACTAATACTTACTGCTATGTGGAAAATGGTATAAAATACTGACAGGTTCATGAACAAGACACATGTGCAACAGACATATGTTGTCGAAGTAGTAGTTGTTGTAAAACTAGTGGTAGTAATAGTAATACATGTGGTAGCAGTAGTTGACTGCCACCTTCATAACTCATGTGCAAGTCGACTATGACTACTACTACTACTACTTCTACAACTTAGCTCTGTGAAGACTTGTCTGTGTGCTCTCTGTGAATCTGAACCAAGATGTCCTCTCTTGAGCAACTCTACAAGCAGCTAAAAGATGAGCTTAGGGCTGCTAAGCTCGAGATGCGGCGATTGATAGAAGAAAACAAGAGGATTCGTAGTAATCCTCCTGTTGTGAGTCTTCAGGTCAAGAGGGGAACCTGGTCAGTGGCCGGGCAACACGGAACGAAGCTGAAGATCAAGAAGACTGCTGGAGTGGCAGAATCAACGAAGAACCAGAAGACTACTGTGTTACCAGACGAATGTGGGTTGTCTTCTGGGAACGTCACAACTAGCGAAATGTTACAAGTTGCTCAAAATTTCACGTGTAAAGAACACAAACCTACTAAATTAAGTATTAAGGAAATGAATGTTTGGTAAGCAAAAATTAGTTTTATTCAGAGAAAAGTTATCTATAGTAAGAAAAAGAGAAAAAAATTAACACGTGGAGCAGAGAAGTTTGACACTGGAGCACAACAATCTAGTCTTTCGCACAACAGGGGTTTAACGTACGACAGTGCACAGTACTACCAATACTAGGGAGAACAGATATATTTTCACCACGTGCCATATTACAAGATAGTACAATACCAGAGGTACTTAAAAAAACACAATAATCCAAACATTCGCCCTTTTTGCTAATATTGCTACTAACAAAGTTAACTATTTAAGTGGACTCCTTTCAGTAAGGAAGGCAATATATGGAACAATCACAGAAACATACATGGGATGCTTTGATTAGTTATATGTGGATACAAAATGTATTGAATAAAGAGGGAAGGTAGTAGATAAGTCACAGGAAAGAGAAGGATTCTATGTAAGAGGCTGTTGTACAGATCTTTTAAAATCATCAGTTGATACTGTAGAAATACTACGAATTAAAGCGAAGAACAGCAGTCTATAAATATATATATATATATATATATATATATATATATATATTATATATATATATATATATATATATATATATATATATATATATATATATATATATATAACCAGTCAGCTACCGCAAAGGAGTTAACGAAGGGATAAGGAAAATATCTTTTGTAAACCTCACCCTCTACGAAGCTGAGAGACTGATGACTTCCTCTTCTGCACTCACCCTTTTGTCCCAGTATTGCACTGATAAAGCCACTGGCTTCTGAAACGTTTGATTAATAAAATGATACTCTCATATTTCACATACGTCTAATTCATGAACTCGTCAGTATTGTGTACCTCTGGTATGTTAAAGAATATCCTCCTTGAACTTAAGTAGTACGTCGGTAGACAGCATCTGCATAGGGAAGTACTACCGTCCTGCCAAGTGAGTATAAAAGGAAAGCCTGTAATTGTTGTACATGATGGTAGGATTGCTGGTGTCTTTTTCTGTCTCAAAAACATGCAAGATTTTAGGTACGTCTTGCTACTTCTACTTATACATAGGTCACACTACACATACATGTACAAGCGTATGACAGGGTGGATAGGGGGGCAATGTGGCAGATGTTGCAGGTGTATGGTGTAGGAGGTAGGTTACTGAAAGCAGTGAAGAGTTTTTACGAGGATAGTGAGGCTCAAGTTAGAGTATGTAGGAAAGAGGGAGATTATTTCCCAGTAAAAGTAGGCCTTAGACAAGGATGTGTGATGTCACCGTGGTTGTTTAATATATTTATAGATGGGGTTGTAAGAGAAGTAAATGCGAGGGTCTTGGCAAGAGGCGTGGAGTTAAAAGATAAAGAATCACACATAAAGTGGGAGTTGTCACAGTTGCTCTTTGCTGATGACACTGTGCTCTTGGGAGATTCTGAAGAGAAGTTGCAGAGATTGGTGGATGAATTTGGTAGGGTGTGCAAAAGAAGAAAATTAAAAGTGAATACAGGAAAGAGTAAGGTTATGAGGATAACAAAAAGATTAGGTGATGAAAGATTGGATATCAGATTGGAGGGAGAGAGTATGGAGGAGGTGAATGTATTCAGATATTTGGGAGTGGACGTGTCAGAGGATGGGTCTATGAAAGATGAGGTGAATCATAGAATTGATGAGGGGAAAAGGGTGAGTGGTGCACTTAGGAGTCTGTGGAGACAAAGAACTTTGTCCTTGGAGGCAAAGAGGGGAATATATGAGAGTATAGTTTTACCAACGCTCTTATATGGGTGTGAAGCATGGGTGATGAATGTTGCAGCGAGGAGAAGGCTGGAGGCAGTGGAGATGTCATGTCTGAGGGCAATGTGTGGTGCGAATAAAATGCAGAGAATTCGTAGTTTGGAAGTTAGGAGGAGATGCGGGATTACCAAAACTGTTGTCCAGAGGGCGGAGGAAGGGTCGTTGAGGTGGTTCGGACATGTAGAGAGAATTGAGCGAAACAGAGTGACTTCAAGAGTGTATCAGTCTGTAGTGGAAGGAAGGCGGGGTAGGGGTCGGCCTAGGAAAGGTTGGAGGGATGGGGTAAAGGAGGTTTTGTGTGCGAGGGGCTTGGACTTCCAGCAGGCATGCGTGAGCGTGTTTGATAGGAGTGAACGGAGACAAATGGTTTTTAATACTTGACGTGCTGTTGGAGTGTGAGCAAAGTAACATTTATGAAGGGGTTCAGGGAAACCGGCAGGTCGGACTTGAGTCCTGGAGATGGGAAGTACAGTGCCTGCACTCTGAAGGAGGGGTGTTAATTTTGCAGTTTAAACTGTAGTGTAAAGCACCCTTCTGGCAAGACAGTGATGGAGTGAATGATGGTGAAAGTTTTTCTTTTTCGGGCTACCCTGCCTTGGTGGGAATCAGCTAGTGTGATAATAATATATATATATATAATATATATATATATATATATATATATATATATATATATATATATATATATATATATATATATATATATATATATATATGAATGTAAACACCCTCTGGGTTTTCTTCTATTTTCTTACTAGTTCTTGTTCTTGTTTACTTCCTCTTGTCTCCATGCGAGTCGTAAGAGGTGACTAAAATGCCGGGAGCAAGGGGCTAGCAACCTCTTCTCATGTATACATTACTAAAGTTAAAAAGAGAAACTTTCGTTTTTCTTTTTGGGTCACCCTGCCTCGGTGGGATACGGCCGGTTTGTTGAAAGAAGAAGACGATCCACCTTGAAGCCTTAGACCTTCCAAACGTTAAGAGGAAATCCATTGGAGTTCTCTGAAGAATTTGTTTTCAACCATCAGATAACAGAACTTACCATAAATGAAAATACACAAGACCTGATCTTCCCGAACACTGAGGAAATAATGAAACATAAGAGTCTCAAATTACCTCAGTGAAGTGCAGAGAAACAAATATTTGCATAGAAAACCCAAGAAATAGCCAACGTAAGAGTATATTTAGAAAATTTAAATAAACAAAGAGCAATGACGCATTTCCCGGGAAACCTGAGCATTCTTAACGCACAGCAGTGTACAGAATAGCTGATTACAGAAGCATACGTATACAAAGTCTAAAGAAAATATTTTCCTGTTAAAAAGCCCTTAAGAATATGAAAGATTAAACAAAAGACGAACAAAAATATACGAGCATATATCACACAGACCAGTAGGCCTGTTGCAGTGTTCCTCCTTTCTTATGTTCTTATGTTTTAAAAACATAATTATCTTCACCAAGAGATTACTCATATGGAGCACGAACAAAAACATTCATATGAGACTGGAAGAAGTGTGAATTAAATGAAAAGCACTGACCGTGTGAACTCTTCTAGCTACCTCTAGTATTGTAGCCAACATTGCCCTGTTGTCCTCATATTGCTTTCTTGGTCTCCTGGTGTTGAATGGTGGGTTGTACATTATTGCTATTATCACCTTATCTGGTTCTGAGTGTCCCTATTATGTATTCGTTCGACTCTTCTCTGGTAAATTCTTTCATCCCCTCAAAAATTTACTAGTTCCTGACCACCTGCTCTGTTTCCTATGTCATTTCTTATTATTTGATATCCTTCTAAGATAACGTGATCAGTAATCACCTCTGTGATCTTTGTTCCCCGTTTATGGTGTCTTTAATATTCTTTATTTCCATCCATTGCTCATATTTGTTACCCCATCTGCGGTAGTATACCACAACCTCAGTTTATTTACTGTTATTGTACTCAGGTTTTTGGTGTTCTGCTCTCCTGGTTCTTGTCCATGTCAGAGGAGAAGAGGGTAAAGGGGAAGGTGGGCTGAGCGTGAGGATGAGGGTTGGATGTGGGGATGAATCTTGCAGTGGAATAGGGAGGGACCGTGAATGTTTGCATGGGAAGATGTGGAACAGAGTGTGTATTTGCACGTGCGCTCTCTTCAAACAGATCTTAACAAATCTCAGGATGAGTCAGGATGTTCATTTGTTGGTTATGCAGCCCCAGCACGGAGCGTATTCCTTTTCAAGCACATGAGGAAGCAGAAAAAGCTTCAAAGCTAGCACCAGAACTATGAGGAATGAGGAGAGGTTAAATGAACTCAACATGACGACCTGGGAGGAGAGGAAGATAAGGGAAGACCAGATTACCCCTTATAAAATCTTAAAGACACAGTTTAGGATTAATAGGGCCCAACTATATTAAGAGAACCAGGATCAACAAAACACTAAAATAAAGTTTAAGTCTCAGCCGACTATTGAGGATTTAAGGATTTACTTAAATCTCACATGAATATATTTATTTATTTATATATATATATAGATATTTATTTATATATATATATATATATATTTATATATATATTATATTATAATTTTATATATATTATTGATATATTAATGTATGAGGAGTACCACCTCTATGGCTGAATGCGGACCCTAATCTCGAGAAGAGACAATAAACGTACCTCAGGGAAACTAAGGTTCTCCCCGGAGCTGTTGAATATTTCTTCTCATACCGACCCCTGTATTTGATATTCTATGTGAACATTTATTAATAAGCAGAATGCATCAGATAAAATACATAACATGAATACAATGGCCACAGTGTATCAAAAATCATGAATTTCCTCCAGCTCCTCCGAGATTGGACGTGACAAGTATGCAGCAAGGGAATTTCCCCCTGGATGGCTACGCTGAGGCGATGGAACATGAATGTTTCTGCCCTTAGGGTCCTGGTGGTTGGCGAATGAGTCTGGAACCCTAATTTTTAAGGAAACGTGTGGCATTTTCCCATGATCCCAAGGTCTTGCATCCCACTGGGGACAAATTGATACTGTTGGCTTATGTCCTGATACTTGCTGATCTTGTACATCCTCCCTTGTCTGGTCAGGAGCTCCTCATTGTCGACCCACACTGTGATGGATATAGGTGTCAGCACAGTGTGGACACACAGGTATGTCATTCTAAGAGCTTTCCATTCTTTCCAAGGATAGAGGGTGATCCCCGTCGGGGCAGTTTGCTGGGTTGTGGGTATCGTTGGCTGCTAGTGATTGGGCCTCCCTCTCAGCTGGGCTTCAGGCTGTAGGCAAGGGTTCTCTTAATAAGTCATTGACCTCATTGGTCTTGCCATGACAGCCTTGTTTTGGTAACATTTAAGACTATGTAGGACCGTATTGGTCTGCTTGCGCTTCACCGCAAATACATGCATATTCTGTGTGAATTGGGGCAGATAGGCGTAGATGCCACTGCAATACGGAGGGTCCACAGGGTCGAGTCGCGTTCCCATTGCCGATATGGGCACGTTTTGGAGGTAGTCCCAGAGTGATGATGCGCTCACAGCCGGGAGTCGGGCAATCTCCCTATCTTGGATGTTGCAGCCCTGTGCATTTCTGCCCAAGCACCTTTTCAGCGATTAGGCCATCCATCTTGGATGTTTGTGAGCCTGTGCTGCATCGCGTTTGGTGCTGGTGCAGCAAGAGTCTCCCATTCAGTGATGGCACTGGTATAGCTGGGTCTTCTATTCTGCGAGTCCACTGAGGGTATCTGGAAGATTTGTTATTAATAACTCGATTTGATGCTATGGATGGAGATATGAAAAGCTGGTAGAAGCAATCTGCAGGATCTGCCGTACACTCCTAGCCCTCCAAGCCTGACGAAGTGGAGGCTCTGCAACCACTGTCCATCTTCAAGGGAAATATTCAATACACCTCTAGCATGTTAAGGAGGAGTCTTATTCCTTGGAGTTTTGGACTTGCTGAAGGAAGGGGAGCATCTCAGAAAGTAGGTCAGTTTGGTGATTGACAGGCACCTGGTGAGTAGTTAAAAGGCATCGTGTGTCGTCAATGTCTTTCATCCTGCTTCCATCGTCGGACAGGATTGAGACTTTTTTTTCTAGGTCGATCGATGGCATTGGACCCAAGGGGAGAACCAAGGAGAGTGCTATTGGCTGGATCAATGGCTCGTTGCTACTGGTTTAAAAACGGCGCTAATATTTGGATCATCTGTCGATTGGTAGAAGAAAACTATTTTACATTTGGTGGGGTTTAATGAAAGGCCCGGGCTTTCTCCCATGGTCTTTAATTTTATTGATGTCCTCTAGGAGAGGATTCTGTTGTGCCAGCTAGGGTACCATCATCAAGGAAACCGATAATGAGATCGCTGAAGAGTACTTCTGTGACTTCCTTTATGACCAAACAGAATAGAAAAGGGGGCGAGTGGGTCCCCCTGTTGCCAAGCCCTCACATGAGTCAATTTCTGGTACCAAACATTAGTTTGGATGTCACACTATAACTCCGATTCTATCAAGGGGATAAAGGGAAGGGAAGTTTCTTTAAACTGCTTGGAGAGCAGCCATCCTTCTGATGTGAGTTGAATGCGTTGACAAAGTCCATTTGACCTAGCATTTCTTACTTCGCACATGTTTTTGATGTATACTCGTGCTGCGTGGGCAGCTGCTTCACTGCCCTATTGAACCGCGAAACAGAGTGGTTGGTTTCAGCATGGCAGCAGCCCTCTTGTCTCAACCTTCTTACTGCAGCCTTGGCGACTTATATTTATGTAAATATATATATTATATATATATATATATATATATATAATATATATATTTATATATATATAAATATATATTATATATATATATATATATATATATAATGATATATATTATTATATTATATATATATTTATATATATTATATATATATGTATATATATATTTTATTTTCTTGGGTCTAGCCTCCGGTGTGTAAAGTTATCCTGGACTATGATACAGAGTTAGCATATAGAGTCTGCTGTGGACGTCGTAGAGACTTTGTTTGTAAATAATTTGGCCTGTTTGCGAATTGTTAGCATTTCTCAATCTCTTCGTTGTCCACTGCATGTGCAGGATTCGAGAAATAACTTTCAAAACGAGCTTTGGTGCCCGGGGGTATGGGGGTTACATCGACTTAGCTTAGGCTAAAGAGCCCATACTTATCCTTGGGTCTAGCTCCGTGGTAAAGTACTGTGACTCTTATACAGAGTTAGCAGGTTTGCAGTCTACTGTGAACGTAAGCAAAACTCTATGACATATTTATTAGGAGTTCGTTTCGGTCTGGGACCTAGAACACTTCTAACATATTGAGTAGAAAGCATTATGTATAGGCGGAGAGTGAGGATTAGTGAGTGACGTTTATGGTG